ACTTTGCTCAAATCAAAACAAAAATAGTAGCTCATCTGGTGTCTGATGGCACAAGCTTCTAAGAAAATTCTATTACAGCGAACCACATTATTTTAATTGATTTCTTCGCCAGTTAGTCGTCTGTCACTTTGTTTGTGGTATTACTATAGAGGTAACTCTAAGACCAGAAGGTCCCGAAGAAACGAGCTCAACTTTTTGGCTCAGCTCTGGTACTATCTTCGGTCCCAAGCTAATCGATACACCCTTCGAAACATAAGAAAATCCACGAACCCCTCATTTTATCTGTCAAACTTTCATAGCGAATCAAAGCAAACATTGTGTAGTACTGGAATTTATACTAGAATGAGGTACGTTAATCGATTTGCTTGGATAGGCACAATAGGCTAGTCAAGTAGTGAGCCAATTTAAAATCGTTAGTTTCGTATTGATTGTTGGTATTACCTTTGATATCGTTTTGTGTTTTTACATAGTATGTGTTAAATATTTTCCAAATATCTGAAAATTAAATATCCTTGTTTTTCGCCTATTTGAAAATGCACTCAAACAATCAATTATTAAATGTTTTTTTTCCGATATAGCTATCACAAATTCAGTGTTGTCTTCTAATTGATTAAAGGCTGATTAAAAGTAAATTGGTACGCCCCTCGGCGCCGCTAGCACGCCTCTAGTGTTGGGAATTGAAAATCCTTGACAGTGGTTTGTTTACACTTTTATAGAGAAAAACTGGTGCATGTTTGATCAAAGTAGTCGATCGCGTTCAGAAATAATGTCAAATGGAACTCGAAAGAAGAAAACAATGGAAAATCCGGAGTGGCAGAAGATGCTGAAAACAACAGTTTGCCTGTGGATTTGAAGATATACCTCAAATACCCTCATCCATCAATGCATGAGCTAGGTAGAAGAGTGTGCGTTTGATTAGTATTGAAGCATTAATGGCATTTCGCTCAATTACAACTTCGGTTCAATTTTCACACTGCCGCACAGTGGGACGAAATTAAAAAAGAGGGACATGGCCATTTGCGACGAAACTATTGAGTGTAGCATTTTGATGTCCTCTAGAATGTTTCTTCAATTTTTAAATACTTCATTGCAGTGTTTTTTTTTTGCTTAAGGGGGCTATGCACTAAGATAAAAATATAACTTTTTTATGTCTTGTTGAAATTTATGAGCATCTATGGAAACATTGTAGATGAAGTCATTTTAAGGAACTTTGTCTAAGACGTCAATTTTGCGTCGCTCAAGTGGACGAAGTTATAGGGTGAAAATGGAGTACAAACGATAGAACCCCCTTAAAACCCGTTTTTGTTAACCATAACTTTTTAGTTTTAATTTTACAATTTGTTCAGTGTTCTACAAAGTTGTAAGTGTTCTAAAAATGCACATTTCTGCTGCAAAAAAAATCGCTGTCTTTTTGTTTTAAGGATTTAAGTCCCTTTTTATATTTTTAGCGCTATCTTTAAGGGGGTATATCTTGCATGTTAGCAGGTATTGGCAGCTAATCTCAACGTTGTTTTGTTCAGCATCTTCTAGTCTACTGTAACATATACAATTCATATGAGGATCCAAGGGGATGCATAATGAATTTTCTAAAAAGCACTAAAATGTTTTGTTACGTTTTGCTGTTTTCATTACCATTCTTCCAAATTTTTACATTAGAGTGGGTTTCCCACTGCTCTTTCAATGCGTATTCTAGTCCCCAACAACTGGGCAAAATTTGAACGAGTTTGATGATAATCTCGATTTGCCGGAGAATTTTAAAATTTGTATGGGAAACGGAACGATCCTATTCATTTGCTTACCAAAAATCCAAATATTTCTCAAATTTCATAAAAACTTGGACTTAGATTGAGAATACTATACCAAACAACTTTATCGGAGCTACAACCCACTCTAACGTACATACTTGGAAAAATGGAATAGAAACAGCAAAACGTAACAAAACATTGAGGTACTATATTAGAAAATTCATTAGGCATCCTCTTGGACCACCCTGTGAATTGTATATTTAATAGTAGGGTATAAGTTGCTAAACGAAATTACGTCGAGTTTAGCTGCTAATACCTGCTAACCTGCAAGGTATACCCCTTTAAAGTTAGTGTTGAAACATTATAAATACGTATGTAAATCCTTTACATGAAGAGATAACAATTTGCTTCAATGTGCATTTTTAGAGCACTTACAACTTTGTAAAACATTGAAAAATATTAAAAATTTATAATAAAAAGTAATGGTTAAAAAAGGTTTTTAAGTGGGTACTTGATTACCTCTCACCCCAGCAGGCCTGGGTTCAATCCCAGTCGGCGCCGACGGCATAACATCTCTGATCACGCCTTCCTTCGGAAGGGAAGTAAAGCCGTTGGTCCCCGGTTCATGAGTTGATGGGTCGATAGGTAGGGTCCAGGTGTGGGAGCTGCCTCCCTGGCGTTGGTAGCATTGGTGCTCAGCACGGAAAACAAGATCGACGGAAAACAAATCAAAGGAAAAAAAGGGGGTACTAGCGTTAATACTTCATTTTCACCCTTCTGCTTTGTCCATTAGAGAGATATAAAATTGACGTCTTAGACAAAGTTTCTTAAAATGATTTCATCTACAATGTTTCGATCAGGGTTACTTCCACTCACTTGCTATAAAAAAATGTTTTTCGGAATAATTAAACCATGAAATAGTATAATGCTAATTAGTACTTGTAAGTTACAAGAAGAGGTCATGAAGTATATGTTTGACACATAAAATCTGTCAATACTGCTTTCAGTGCGTCACAATCAGCGATTTTACGACTAGTGAGCGCTCACTCTGAGTGAACGCTCACCAACCATAAGATCGCTGATTGTGACGCTCTGAAAGCGAAATTGACAGGTTTTATGAGTCAAACACATACTTTACATTCTCTTCTTGTTACTTACTTGTACAACATATCATTATAACATCTAATGATTGCATAATTTCGAAAAATATTTTTTTATAGCAAGTGATTGGAAGCAACCCTGGTTTCGATAGATGTTCATCAATTTCAACAAGACATAAAAATATTATTTTTTCCCCCTTAATCAAAAATGTTCACTTCTCAATTAAAGTTCTCAAAAAATGAAGAAGCATTCTAAAAGACATCAAAATGCTACACTCAATAGTTTCGTCGCAAATAGTCATGTCCCACTATTTTTGATTTCGTTTTTGACTGTGTGCCGTACTCTAGCGGGACCTATCAATCTATTCTCTTCAGAAATTTCTCTAGATAATAAATTATCGCACTATAAAGCTTAATGTTGATCTAAGTATAGTATTTCCTTCCAACTCTGGAAATCGTAGACTTCACGTACGAAATAACAATGCAGTTTGATTGAAATATACTTTGTTAATTGAAAAACAAAATACAATCATTCAGCAAGTTTGTCATATTGTAGATCGTAATTGAGGGGGTTAGAAGGAAAGGGGTGTAAGTGACTTTGATCGAATCTCTTCATCGACTTTCTCTTTTGATAGCCACAGCTTTATAAACAGATTTTGCGCTATTTCTGGCCTATAGTTTGATAAAGGAGGTTCTCATCTAGCATCCAGAATGGCACACGAATCAAGGAATGTGTTTGCAGCTGAATTATTAACGAAAGAGAAAGTCGATGAAGAGAATCGATCAAAGTCACTTACACCCCTTTCCTTCTAACCCCCTCAATTATTATTTGATTAGTGTGTATGTGCGTATGTGCTTGTGTCAATATTTAGATTTAGAACGAATATTTGTGAATATCAACTAAAAATATTTTGTTTAAAATTACTTTTTTGTAAGCATGGTGCATTTTTCAATTTGTATGAAATTTTTTCTTCACCAATTTATCCCAAGTATCTATAAGGATGTGTGGTGCATCTTTGTTCTAAACGAAAAATGTTTGAACCAACTTCAATAAAAAGTAAAAAACGATGGAAAGCAACCTATGTTGGAGGAAATATGAATCGTATTTTCAAATCAATGAACATTTTAATTTTCAAAAATATAAAACAATGTAACATATTAGGAAACTTTAGCATACCTCAAACATAAAACTAAAATCAGTGTTCATGTGCAGATTAAAGATATGAAAATAAATCTACCGCAAACTCTACCACAACTGAAGTTTTAACGAATGCACAAAACACAACCGGATATTCTACTTGTAACGAACAAACTGATCATACACCTTAAAAGGATAAACGGAAAACAGCATCCGACCAACCGGCTGCTGCTGCTACTGGGCTATTGGGTAACTGGGAAAGTGTAAACGACAACCATCATCACTGTCAACGGGCACTTACCGTTGGCCGCCTCCGAGAGACTATCGGACCGATCTATCGCCTTGCTGGCCTCAACCGCAGCCAGCACGGCCACGGTCGACGCGGAACGGTTTAACTTTTTGCTAATTGGTTCACCTGTGCTTTCCTTCCGGGATAACGACGACGACGGTGACGACGACGCGGGCGTCGCTCCTCCATCCTCGGTAGCTGCTTTTCCGTGTATTTGCAAGTGTATTTTTTTTTTCGCCAACAATCAACGAGTGTGATTGCATTTGTTTGTGGGATTGAACATGAGAAAAAGTTTCGGTTTTTCGTATCGTTTTTTTTTTTATGTTCCATCGAAAACCAGAACCAAAGTTTTGGAAATTAAATTGAACAACAGATATGCAGGTACGGGCAAGGAAGTTTTTTTTTCAAAAATAAAGCATGAACCAAGACTATAAGAGAGAGAGAGAGAAAGAGAGCAAAAAAGCGTTTGATCTTTTGCTTAGACTTTTTGTAGCGCATCCAAAACAGCGTTGTTTAAAAAAATAACAAGGAACATACGAACGAACGGGCGAACAGGTAAAGCTTCTACCAATCATCTATGTATCGGATTGCAATCAGCGACCGCGAAGCGGGGGGAGCGGATAATGTATATTTTTAGAATTTCGGAGGGACGATGAAGGAGCTGTACCGACTATCTGGATCTGGATGGGGGAGTAATTAGAAAAGAAATTAGGGATTGGTTTACTTACAGTCGATGTGTCCCGTCGGTAGGCCGCTGCCGTCGGCATCGTTGTTCGAAACACAATCCAGAATGTTGAGCAGGGTTTTCGTCAGTCGGAGCAGGTCGCTGAAGCTGTAGAAGCCAAAGTAGATGAGGTCCCGGGCCAGCTTGACCACCTCGAAGGTGAGCTTGTTTTGGTCCTGGTCAGCAAACCACATTTTCGAAACCACGTGGTTGCACAAGTAGTCTTCGACGAAGGCGATCGTCTTGTTGAAGCGGGCCCGAACGGCTTCCTTGTTGCTGTCCGGTTGCTTCTCGATGTCATAACTGTCGGGGGTAGTAGTTAATGTAGATCAAATTGTATAGAACAATTACGGAAGTAAGACTTACTCGTTGATGGACATCACGGATGGAATTTCCGACCAAAGCCTGGCGTATTTGACCGGCGTGACCGGTTCCTGAGGATCGCGATCCACGTGCAGATGCAGCATTAACCGGCAGAACGAAGCCCTCATATCGTACGGAATGGTCTTATCGGACATGCATCGTAGAATCAGATCGATGTCCAGATGCGGCGAAAGGTTGTTCAGTGCCAAATATTGCCGGTTGAGGCACATGTTGGAGAACAGATTCAGCTGGTGTCGGTAGTACTCCATGATGGCTATGTCGTGCGTTCGGCCTATTTTGAGTCCCTGCGCTAGTCGACTCATGGATTTCGATTGCTGTTGGGGCGATTCGTTACGACAATTAATAATTTATATGTATAGCAGGACTGTAATTATCGATAGGTCAATCAACAAAGACGAATGGAAAGAAGGAATGGCTAGCGTACAAAGGAAATTACTGTGACTATTAATAATAAAAAGGCGTAATTCTCAGCCCAACAACACGGTGTTGAAAACATTGTATGTATAACTAATTCATTATTCAACGGGTGATTGCTTTGAATCCGGTAAAAATCGATTGGCTAATGCAACTTTCCGGATATGTAAATTAAACTGGATTCCATGGTAATTCAACCTCTTTATATGCTGTTACCGGAATTCAAGTCTAATTCATATTTATCCATTTATTTAGTGGTCGTGCAATACGTAGATAATTTTTTAAATGGCTTTAGAACCCCCCCTCCCCCTCCTCTGAAAAAAATAAACGTCCTTATGGTGTTTCTATTTTCTATAGTCTTCCAGCCAACCATGAATTGGGAATCATTTGATGACTCTTTGTGGGAATAAATAAATAAAACATAATTTTATTCAGTGCCCAAACAAGTAATAAGTATTAATTTTGACAGTTATTCATGCAAATGTTAATTTATTTAGTTCCGTAGAACGATCCATGAAGCATTCAGAGATTTCAAAGTCTAAAATACCACGAAAATTGTGAATAAGGCCTCGTTTACGGAGGCAAACGTGTTTATCAAGGTTGAACCCCAAAACACCCGTAAAATGTCGATCCAAGCAATTTGTGTTACTTGGCTTTTTACGGAGATAAACGCATTTAAAGATTTTAACCACAAAACAACCCAAAATTATAATTTTTCCTGGAACATATGTTCGATATTGCATCAGGAATTTTCATCCGACTTCCCCTTTTATGACTTGGAAGCTTCATGGCACTCCTCCTGGTAAATTTGCTGGTTCATGGTCCCAGAAGTAACGAAAGCTTCCAGTACCTCGAATCTTATGGTGGTTGATGTTTATTTTGTACTTGTTCTCACAGCGATCTGCAATTTCACAAGTTTTTTCTTTTACTTACAAAATACTTCCACTCACTTGCTATAAAAAATTGTCTTTCAGAATTATTAAAACATTAGAAGTGACAATGATAATTAGTACTTGTATGTGACAAGAAGAAGTCGTGAAGTATGTGTTTCACACATTTAACCTGTCAATATTGCTTTCAGTGCGTCACAATCAGCGATTTAACGATTCGTGAGCGCTCACTCAGAATGAACGCTCGCGAATCATAAGATCGCCGATTGTGACGCTCTCAAAGCGAAATTGACAGGTTTTATGAGTCAAACACATCCTTAACACCGTTTTCTTGTTAATTGCAAGCAGGGTTGCTTCCACTCACTTGCTATAAAAAAATATTTTTCGGAATTATGCAATCATTAGATGTTATAATGATATGTAGTACTACTAAGTAACAAGAAGAGGGTGTAAAGTATGTGTTTGACTCATAAAACCTGTCAATTTCGCTTTCAGAGCGTCACAATCAGCGATCTTATGATTCGTGAGCGTTCACTCAGAGTGAGCGCTCACGAGTCGTAAAACCGCTGATTGTGACGCACTGAAAGCAATATTGACAGATTTTATGTGTCAAACATATACTCCATGACCTCTTCTTGTAACTTACAAGTACTAATTAGCATTAAACTAATTCATGATTTCATAATTCCCAAAAACATTTTTTTATAGCAAGTGAGTGGAAGTAACCCTGTTGCAAGTACAGCATATCATTATATCATTTAATGATCTCATAATTTAGAAAACCATTGTTTTATAGCAAGTGAGTGGAAGCAACCCTGTTTGAAATCCAGCGGCAGTTTTCAATACTGTTAATAACTACCCATAAATAACGAATTTTGGGGAAAGTGGTGTAAAGTGAGGTATTCGGTGTCCCAGAAAGTATAAACACACTTTCAATTCGCCGCCAATTCTACCCCGATGAAGTTTATCAGCTGTTCATCGATGTGTGTTGTTGTTTACTTATTGCTCAACAAGTTTGTGTGCGCAATGTGCATTTTTTTTCAAGATCATCAAAATGCAAGGCATTTCCACTGAAAAGCGTGAACAGATCGTGCACAAATGGTGCACTATTTCCAACCTATTAGAAGTTACCTTCAAGGACACATCGAAATCTGGTCGAAAACCGGGACCGATTGATCGAAAAGTCAACCAGAAGATCACCAAGCTTTGAAGAGAAGGACCAGCCTCTGGCTGAAAGTCTCGCTAATAAAGATAACCTAACCTCACCAAGCTTTCGTCAGTAAGAAAAGTGCCTCTGTTCAAGATTTGACCAAAAACCTGAGAACATCGAAGAGTAACGTCCAACGTGCCAAGGCAAGAAACGGGCTGAAAACGTTCAATAAGCAGAGCAGAAACAAATTGCATCCGTCAAACCGAGGGCTCGGATGCTATATAATAGCCTGCTGTGTGCAAATTTGGCGTGTGTTATCATGGAATATGAAACATACATCATATTTGACTACAAGACGCTTTCGGGAGACCAATGCTACACAGTTCGTGATGGTCAGGAAGTTGACAAATGTGATAAGAAGGCCATGGCTTAGCAAGCGATATGTGAGTGTGGTAAGTTATCAAAGCCATTTTTGAACAAGGAGACGCCAGAGAGCAACTGTCAGTTTTAGCTCCATGGAAAGGTTGTGACCAACCCAGGTATGTCCGATCGTGATTTGAGTAAAATATGATGCCTCCCGTAGTACAGTGCAGCAAATTTGTTACCACGAAGGCTTACAGGCATACCGCTCCAGTAGACAACCAAATCAATCACTCAAGCAGAATACCGTAGCTAGAAACCGTGCTCGAAAGCTGTTATGACAACCTGCCCGAGCAAAGTCTGAGATCAAATTAAAATCTAAATTTGATGTTGTGACTTTGCTAATAATGATTACACACACAGCAAAAAAATTATCACATCAAAGTGGATGCACTACAATCATGTCGAAAATTTCATGTAATTTTTATGACCACATAAATAAACAAATGCAGTAAAAGCAGCGTAATGTCAGTTCATGCATTGTATTAATGATAATTTTGTCCTTTTTAGCAAGTAATATTATACCATATTTTCGACATGATTGTAGTGCATCCACTTTGACGTGATATCAAAATTATTTTTTTGCTGTGCAGGCTGCTGTCGTTTTGGTCGTTTAAACGGTTAAAATATCAAAATTGAGAGCAAAACAATCTTCCTGTGACATCACATTGAAAACTATTTCTGCTCAGTGAGAGTAAACTGAAAACTCAATTTGATATCAATTTTTCCTGTTGATAACAAAACAAGTATTGAATTTGATGTTATGCTAAGGTAATGAAAACAAACCCATAACAACATATTTTTGAAGAGCAAATGTACAGCAAAATGAAAACAAAATTTGGTATCAATTAGGTCAATGTGTAAACTGAAATCAAATTATGATTTCAGTTTGGTGTTGATATCAAAACTTGATTTCAATTTGCTGTCATTTTGATGCTGGACTTTGCTCGGGTGCTGACCAAGTCCGGTGGGTGCATACTTATGGATGATGAAACCTATGTAAAGGCCGACTTCGGACAGCTTACAGGACCAAAATTTTACAAGGCGAAGGCTCCAGGAGGTGTCCCTTGCAGATTCAAATTGGTTTTTGCGCTGCGGCCAGAAAACAAAGGTTTTCGTCACTGAGAAAATGATGAACTCGAAGTTTACAAAACCGAATGTCTCCAGACGCGAATTCTGCCCTTCATTCAGTCATATGATGGTCCGGTGACATTTTGGCCAGATCTTGCGAGTTCTCCCTACAGCCGGGCATTACAACAATGGTACAATGACAACGGAGTCCAGTTTGTTCCGAAAATCCTCAATCCGCCCAATTGTCCCCAGTTCAGGCCCATTGATAACTACTGGGCAATTGTGAAGAGGAAACTGAATGTAAAAGGTACAGTCATCAAAACGGCAGCTCAGTTGAAAAATTGGTGGGATAAAATCGCCATAACAGTGGACAAGAACGTAATGAGTTTCTATCTTTTTTTATTTCTTAAAATATAAGGAATAGTCAGGGGGAACGACACTCACTTGCATGTATTTTTTCAGTCTAGTAATTACTTGGGATTTTCGGGGAAAAAACATAATTGATGGGATTTTTGAGTGTGTCGTGTTGACGAAAATAGAGCACGTATAGAAAAAAATAGATGGGATAGATCAGGGAATGGATGTGATGTAAGGGGTGTTAAAAAGTTTCGGAGGAATACAAGTCCGAACGCGAAGAATAATAGGTGTAAAAAGAAGAAAAATCTGCTGCAATGCAGCGTCCATAAATTACGTGACGCTTATATGGGGAGGGAGGTCACCTATATCGTAACGAATTATTACATAGGGGAGGAGGAGTAAAGCTTTCCGTTACGTAACAACGAGAACATTTTGTTTTTTTTTGTTTTTTGATGAAAAGTTTGAAAATACATTTCAAAAAATGTCATCACTAAATCTTGCTTGCAAAATGGATATGTTTTAATGCTATATCTTGAGATTTTTGCTATGCTTAAACTTTTGAAAAGCAGGTACTCGATGGTACGTTGATCTTTGTTTTTATGTTGAATATTAATAATACAATTACCTAGAAATAAAAAAGACATACCGGAATCAAAAATTAATGAAATGAGACGGGTGGGGGGTGGGGGCTGTATTTTAGAGCGTTACGTAATAAATAGAGGGGGATCATTTTCAGTGTAACGTTTTGTTCTAAGGGGGGGGGGTCGAACATATTGATTTTTAGCGTAACGTAATTAATGGACACCGCCCAACAATGTTAACCAAAGATCACAGCTCAAGTGCAGAAAACGGTTCCATACCAAATAGGTCGAAACTGCACCGTACGAGGAACGGGTGGTGGCGATGGATCACTAGGTTCCGGTTAATATTTTCAGCTGTATTTGGACGGGAATTTGATTCACAATATTCTCGCACAGAAACTCAATCAGCCGGTGGGTGTTTTCCTTCACCA